ACTCGATAGCCAGAAACAGACCAAATACCTTTGTTGTCTCTTCTTATCACCAAATGATCCATCCTATGAAGAGCTCTTCGAATTCTTGTCTCTGAAGCTTGACCAAATCCAACAGAACCATCCAGCAGCAGAAATCATCATCATGGGCGATTTCAATGTACACAACACTGCTTGGCTCGTACACTCTAACAGAACGGATGAAGCTGGGCGACAAGCCGAAGCTTTCGCCATCACTCACGGCTTAGAGCAGCTTATCAAAGAACCCACACGAATTCCCGATGTCAATAACCATTCAGCTAACATACTTGAATTATTCCTCACTAATAATTCAGCACCCTACACCATAGATGTACGAGCTCCACTTGGCAATTCTGACCACACACTCATCTCCACAACCTGCCCATTTTTCATTCCATCAACTGCTCCGGCACCCCCACGTCTTATATGGCATTACAATTCAGGAGATTGGGACGGTCTCCGCATGTTTTTCTCCGAGTTTCCTTGGCATAGAGTATGCTTTGACTCTGAGGACCCTTCACAGTGTGCTGCGGAAATATCCGAGATCATCATGCTCGGAATGGACACATACATACCTCATTTTTCGAAAAGATCATCACCTTCGAAACCCTGGTTCAACAAAAACTGTTCTAGAACTGTTGCCTTGAAACAAACAGCCTACCATCGCTGGCGCAAAAACCCTAACCTCGCGACTAGAGCAGAATACGTTGATGCTAGGAATAACTGCAGCCAAACAATAGATGCTTCGAAAGAAACATACAATGCCAAGATAAGATCGAAACTCATAGATTGCCCCAATGGCTCCCGTTCGTTTTGGTCCCTTGCTAAAGCGGTCGGAAGAAATTTCACTGATAGTTCATTTCCACCACTGTCCAAATCCGACGGCACATTAGCAACAACATCGCAGGAGAAAGCAAATATTTTTGCAGAGATGTTCGCAGCAAACTCTACTTTAGATTCCCAAGGAAAACTGCCGCCAGACATTCCACCCGTTGAGAGTCGAATGCCCGAAATCGTCTTCCGTCAACGCACTATCAGACGAATTTTGCTTGGTCTCAAAACGAATAAGGCTAACGGTCCTGATAGAATTCCACCCATTATCCTCAAAAAATGTGCACCAGAATTAACACCGATTCTCTGCAAGTTGTTCACCATCTCGTACAGGTCGGGTATTTTTCCATCATGCTGAAAGACAGCTAGAGTCCAACCAATCCCCAAAAAAGGGAACAAGAACCTGCCCAACAACTACAGGCCCATTGCCCTGTTATCAGTAATCTCCAAAGTGATGGAGAAAGCCATCAATATTGAGCTTATCAAATATCTGGAGAGCTCAGGAATCATCAATGATAGACAATACGGCTTTCGCCACCGAAGATCTACTGGAGATCTACTTGCCTACGTCACCCATTTATGGCAATCTTCAATAGAAAAACACGGGGAATCTCTAGCTGTCGCGTTGGACATTTCGAAAGCATTCGACCGTGTTTGGCACGAAGGACTCCTCCACAAACTACCATCATACGGCTTACCACCTCAGCTATGCCATCTCTTATCGAGTTTTCTTTCAGGCAGATCGCTTCACGTGGTGGTGGACGGTGTATCGTCTGATACCTTTGGCACCAATTCCGGCGTTCCACAAGGATCAATTTTGGCACCAACATTATTCCTGCTTCATATCAATGATCTGTTGGGAGTAACAACTTGCCCCATCCACAGCTTTGCAGATGATAGTACCCTCCATACTGCGTTCTCTTCTAGAATTCCCATTCCTTCCCAGGAAACTGAGAACTCACGGCGCAGGCAGGTCAATGCTGTCAATGAAGATCTTGCTGAAACCACAGCCTGGGGAACAAACAACCTAGTTGAATTCAACGCCACCAAAACTCAAGCCTGCATTTTCTCTAGAAAGGCGGAACTCAGTATGCCCGATATTGTAATGTCTGGCTCCACCATCCCCACCAAGCCCACCATATCTATGCTCGGTATTTCCATCAGCAACACTCTTTCATGGGATAATCATGTCAGATCCATCGCAAAAGCTGCTTCACAAAAACTCGGATTCTTGTTCCGTGCGAAAAGCTACTTTACACCTCAACAGCTTCTCATGATCTACAAAGCGCAAATACGGCCTGTTCTAGAATACTGTTCCCACATATGGGGTTCAGCACCAAAACATACACTGATGCTCTTAGATTCCATCCAGAGAAGAGCCATTCGCCTGGTGGGTGACGCCACACTCACTCACTCTTTGACATCATTGGAACACCGTAGAAAGGTCGGCGACCTTTCACTTTTCTATCGATACTTCCACGGGAAATGTTCTTCGGAAATCTCTGCTATCATCCCTTCACTAGCAATACCAATCAGACGAACTAGACAAGCCCAGTCAGCACATCCTTTCGTTGTCAACCTCGAAAGATGTCGAACAGCACTTTATCAAGACTCTTTCATCCATAGAACGGCTAGGCTCTGGAATTCATTGCCTGTGGAAGTATTCCCAACAACATATAATCTCCAAAAGATCAAAAAAAATTCTAATACCTACCTCCTGTCCCTATCCTCCCTAGGAACGCACGATGTTCTTTGAACATTATAGGGATTCCCTTTCGTGCGCTCCAAGCGATAAAAAAAAAAAACGATATTACGTTGAACGCCCTGTAAAGGTTCATGAATCTCCTGGCAAGGAAACAAGTACATGGAATAAGTTTCACTATATGACTATACATATATGAATATATTTTTCAGCATTTTTCTTTTGAAGCGAGCAGCGATAATAAATCATACTTAGGGTTAGATTGAGTGGTGAATTGTGTAATTTTTTTGTACAAATGATAATTTTTCGCATTATTAAATTGTGTATGTATTTGATGAGGTTTTCTTATTCTAACTGAATCTCTCTCTCATATTATAGGTTTCTGATTTTGCCAGGTCCAATAACTGTGTGAAAGAATCAGTGGCGCCCTTTTCAACATATTGCTTTACATATTTTTTTGTACAAAATTCCAATCAATCAATGATAAATCCTATGTCAATTCAGCAATAGAGTCACGCCCTTCTGCCTCCGACGAACAGCTGCCGTTATATAGTAGTGAAATAGTTAAAAAATACGGTTCACATATCCACACAATGTTCATCAATTAAACAACAATGGTAGATTTCGGAAGAAAAACAACTACTTTCCTTTTTTAAATGTATGATAAATTGACATTCATCATACAGGACGTGGAAAGAAATTCTGAATTGAGAAGAACCTAATCACGAATCTGCGATTGAGGTCTATGAAAATAACATCAAGTTTCCATCGTTCAAGTTTGAACCCCTTGATTGGGTGGAAGTATTGAAAAGCAATATTCCCAGATATATTTATGAACACAAAGAAATGGATATATATATATAAAGAAATACATTGAGAATTCGCATTCTCCATGTGATGAAAATATCAATTCTTTCACGGTTTATTCAACAGAAAAAAACTACTTTTCTGGCTATATGCCACGATGAATATCGAATTACATCTATTGAACACACACGATGAGAATTTGAAAATAAAATCTTCTGTGTACACTTCACTAGTATCTTCGACAGGTGATATACTGGTACTATCGTACCATATTGTTAGCGAAACATGTCGTGTGTTTGAGAATTTTGTGGAAATCTTATCGTTTGTGAAGTTTTCACATTTGCCATGAATTTCCATCATGTAATGGCCGAGTCAATTCAAATTTGTTGCTATCAACTCGAGTCAAATCTAGAGGTTTCAATATTGAGGTCTCACAATATTAAAAAAAAAATGCTCTTCCCTAAATGGCACTTCCCATTGTTGATCCATGAAATCATCAACTATTTTTTATTCTGCTAATTTTTTGATCGAAACCTAATTGACTGAATAGGGGACAAGTCCGTATGTGGGACAAATTATTTTTATCAACTGAATAACTCCAATTACCTTGAATGTGTGAGAACATTATAAAAACATTATTTGTTTATTGCGCTCCATTTGGAACAACAATCATGAAAATAAAAAACAATGCCCATTCCGAAAGAATCACAACTTTGTTTCAAATAAAAATAACGTTGCGATAAATCTACATTTTGAAGGCTAAAGGTAACAGAAAATAGAAAATTCGAATCTTCTTTATCCGCGTCTAATTATATTTTGATATTATATTCATAATTTATAGCCAGAGCATGATCATCCCTCGAATCATCTGATGCATTCTTGATAATGAAAATAAAATGAAGCAGTCTGTACGTACACTTTTGTGTTTGATATCCCAAATCGTTGTAATTGTCGAGATGGCTGATGTTAGAGTACAATTTTGACGTTAGTTGATGTGTTTGTACTTTGTACATGGGTTTTGTGTTGTAACGTTATTCGTTGATAACAGCTATTGCTCACTGAATGACTCACAAATTTGATAAAATTGAACTTGTTGTATTTTTATGGATTCAACAATTTGTTGCAACGACATTTTCATTTGAAATGAAGTTATGGTTTTTTTTTGAACAGGCATTGTTCTACATTTTTATAATTGTTGTTTTGAATATAGTACGATGAGCAGATGGAATGATAATTTCATGATAATCCCCCTACACAAATAACAAGTTAGTCATTTATAATAACAAATTGTCCCAAATACGGACATGTCCTCTCGTTTTCGAAATAAGGTTCTGATCTAAAAATCAGGAGAATGATAAAAAGTTCATGTTTTTATGAATTATCAATGAAAAAGTACCATCTGGGAACACAAATATATTTTTTTCAATTGTGTGCCACCTTATTACTGAAGTTAATACCTAAAAGAGTTGCATGCGGAAACACAAAATACATCCACTCTCACTCATTATTTCCTGCTCTTTCCGAATTTGTGAATGATATTTCAAAATATTATATACAGGATGTTGTTTCGACTCAGAACCTATATATACATTTCTCCAAGGTTGGCCCTGGAATGAGACTTCCTTTATTATGTCAATCGTCACAACTTTGGACAAAGAATTTACAAACCAAACCAGATTATTCAGAATCACCTCGGTGTCCTCCATCTACCCTCGCTGTATGCGCATTCTGCAATGAATCATCCTGTCAACATATTTTCACGGTGAATGTGTTCTTCGCCATTTGCCGCAATGAAAATTTCAGTATACAAGTATACAAAACAACCGTGCGTAAGAAGACAAAACGCACTGTATGCTACTGCGTAGCGGTCGATTTCATTGCATCAGGGCAGAGACAGCTGCTTATTAAAAATCAGGATTCCCAAGGATCTCCGCCTCATCTTCTCATCAACCTTAATCCATCACGACGTCGTTTGATAGCTCCCGCAGGGTCACCGTCATTTACGTGCAAATTGATACATAATATTTCAGCTCCTGGTGGTATCGTCCTGAAACGGAGGTAGTGATAGTGAGTTACCGCATGGAGACAGTTGAGGGAGATAACGTTTGTTAAGGATTGCTCTTTGGTCCTCAGAATTAGAAATTCCACATTTGCTCTCTTATGAATCAATATTCATAGTCTCTGATATATCTTGAAATTTTAGTACATTTTCGTTTAAGTACAAATCAATGTGTTGCAGTTCGTAGTTGAATGTTCAGAACACATTGTGCATCACTATGATTTTGAACTCATTAGATGATGAAACAATGTCTCGAACCGTCATTAAAATTTGAGATTCGCATTTATTATCAAGGAAAATAGCAAATAAATAACAATAATACAGTGAGATGGAAGTGATTTTGAGGAAACTGTAAAATGACTAGGAAAGAGATTATTGGACATAGCCCTCACTAAGAGATAACCGTATACAAGTGTTTCGGGCATTCTGCCCTCATCAGTACGGTGAACGGAAGTGCAAAGGATGGGTAGCACTTGGTGGAAAACGAAACATCACATAAACGGAGTCAACAAACAGGAGCCAACCGCACATTTGTGGTTTCGGTCAGCAGATCCTGAGGTGGAAACAGCTAACGTCACCACGGAGGCAGCTATAGCTACCTGCGTGACATCCGTGTTGAAGAATGAATACAATAAGATTGAAGTGATATGTCCAATAATCTCTTTCCTAGTCACTTTACAGTTCCTTCGATATCGCACATCCTTTGCACTTCCTTTCACCGTACTGATGAGGACCAAAAGCCCGAAACACGTGTACACGGTTATCCCTTTCTGGGGGCTATCTCCACAATGATCTCTTTCCTAATGATACAATCCACAAACAAACCATGCCCAGCAAACATTGAACTAGCGGAATGAAGCCGGCAAGTGCAAGGAATACAATGGGCCGATGATATTCCTATGCTGAGTAATCAATTTAAAAAAAAAGATGTGCTTGTGATGGCGAGATATATGAAACTAATTGAACACTATCAAGTTGTGGTCCATTGCTAGCCAACACTACTCGTGTCGCTTCTGGGAACGTCTACATCAGCGATAAGTTGATCATTATATGTATATCATATTATGTTACTCTCGTGATCGCGTATGTTTCGTTTTCCTCTGCTTAGTTATCGAATTATTGTGCTCTTCACTCTTCCTAGTGGTTATTTATGATGGCAAGAGTATTCTCAATTAGAAATATAGAATTGGGATACTTCAATCATGATAATATTGAGTGAGTATCAATCTAACTATGTAGTGTTTCGAAATTCATTAGTAAATGCATGTGTTTGGGATCTCATAACCTCATATACCTAAATATTGATCATAATAATTGGAGTGGCTATATATACCTCTCCAGAAACAACTATCATGTTTACGTCGTTCGTTGCTATATGGAAAACAATCTCAGGTTATGTAATCCTGTCTTCATTTTGGAACTTGATATAACAATACGGTTTCAACTGCAAAAATACATGCCAAGGAAGAAGTGGGGATTGAAAAGTTTTATGATATGATGCTATCAGATTATATTGATGAGGTTATCAACTCATGCAACAGTATTGCGTTTTTCAAACAGAAAAAAATAAGATTCCAAGAGAACTCACTGAAAACTGATGATGAATTTTATATTTCAGGAGTCCTCGCATCAAAGAATCAATTATCGATGGAATATACTATACTCAATGAGATGTAACACCAGCCGGTGAGCAGTTAGTCTGAGAAGTTTCATCATGGAAGAAGAGAGAGGTTAAGAAGAAATATGGTCCATTGAGCCGGATGAACATCATATGTTCATTTCAGAACTGTATCATTGTTATTCATTCGCTATTTTTCTAGATGTGAATGACTTTTTTGAATTCTAATGAATGTTCGGGATTTTGTTCTCATATTCATTAAAAACGAACAAATTCAAAGACAATCCAATCGAATGAGTTTAAAATCATAGTGATTCACAGAGTGTTCTGAATTGTCGAAAAATATTCAAACTGCAACACATATGACTATACCGGGTGACAACGAACTCAATGGACAGGGCGTCATTCAATTTTTTCTCATGTTAGACTACTGACATTTGGATCGAGATCATAGTTCATCTGAACTTATATTTTCCAGCAAGAAATATCAGAATATCATTCTCGGTTTTACCAGGAATTGACGTGAGTTGAGAATTTTATTCTGAAAATGGAGGCGCAGGAGGCGTTTTTTCTGGAATCAATATGACGACAGACGGTGAAAGTTGTTGCCAAAGTATGGAAGTGTGCATGTTGCTTGGAAGCGAGTTGCATATATACTGCTAATTTGGAAAGCTAGGTAGCGTCTCATCACTAAAAATGCCTGGTAATAGGTCGGTTTTAGGAAATTGAAGACATCTCATTGGTTCTTATAGAATGAGCGTCATTGATGTCAAAGTTCAACTAATCATCACATAATAATAAATTATGCACGCCTTGTGTATAATTGGAAATATCTTTGTCAGAGTCCGTTTGAATCTACATTCACCTCTGAAGTTTTTCCTGCTGTGAAATCGGTTGTAAAGTGAGGAGTATTGTTGAAGAGACATTTCCTACTAACCTCAGGATAACAGGGTGCATCAAGCTAACAATAATGATTAATCGATTTTTCTCAGGTCTGCGGTTGATTTCAGTGAGAAATAAATTGTTATCCGACGATGATGATATCGGCATTTCAATTACATTCCGAGTCTGTCACTGCAGATGTTTCTTTCTCGTTCAGTATTGAAAACTGAAGTGCATTTCGATAGAGCGGTTCCTTACTTTTTATTTCCCGCATCATTTCTTAGCAGAGCAGGATATCTGGAATTGCGCCTTTTGTTCCTATTATATAGGGAAATGGCTGACCAGTGACCCTCCATGTTAGATATACAGTGTGACCTCTATGAAATTCAAGATCATTCTTTCGTGACATTGCTTTTTGGACATGATTTTATCAGCCAGATATATTTTTGTATTCCCAAGATTCTCTCCAAGTAATCTGATATTTAGTTTTCTATACAAAATCTCATGTTCACGCTCAGAATATACAGTGATTTCCGCATTCAATGGAAACACCCAATATGTCAGTCACATCATTTAGCAGGGTTCAAATTATGATGACTTTTTTTGAGGAAAGGATATTAGCGTTTATTCAAGATAATCATTCTCATCAATAACCTCCTAATCCATATTTTCAATATCACAAGAGCTGATTCTAGCATGATGAAAAAATCATCAGGGATTCACCCTTTCTATCTTGTAAACTAGGAGGGCGCGCGAACCTTAGCCTATACTTCAACAAAATGGTTCGACTACAGTGAAACTCCGTGGAACATTGATTTCTGATCCTATAATAACGTTGTTTTTATGACTTAAATTTTGTTGTGAAATAATACAGCTCCTCTCTACGATAAGCTCTGAATATACCACATCAAAGATGCATACATACAGGGTATTAGTGGATAAGTGGGATGAACTTCAGTGGATAACTCGTTTTGATACTTTAGAGTTTAGGAGATGAAATGTACATGAGTATGTGTCCTAACTTGCTTCATACAGGATGTTGAAATTGGAGGTATCAATTATTATCATTCATAACCCCCTGTATCAACTTTCAATGCCAGAATTCAGTCTGGTTCAAGACTGACGGAGCCCCAAAATTTCAAAATGATCATTATTGGGGTTATTGAATTTTCTTGTTTCCTCAAACACTGAGCGAGATACAGAAGTGACACAGGAGATTGTTCAATCTGATATAATCATTATCTCTCTCCTAAAAACCAGTGGGGTACAATGATATTCAACACAAATATCGATAAATTAATCCACTGTGATGCCACTGGAAATGATATTTCGAATCTAATTACACCAAAAAATACTTTATATTGATATTAACAAATCCAACAAGGTTCATCGATATTCAGGAGAAGACATTCAAGTGATGAATAATGAAAAACGATTTTTCATGGTAATATTAATTTCTTGTATCTCAAAAACGGAGCTACCCAGGTAGCACATCATATTGGCTGGAACCCGATTTCATATTGGGCCGATATAGATATATCGTACATGTTAAAAATGATATAGGTCCAATATGAGAGTATATTGGACAAACAATATTGGAATGATAATATTGGTGGAATATTGGTTCAACCTGAGCTGAATATGGATTGTCAGCTACAATATTGAAGCAATATTGGTTGTAAAATTCGTTAACAATGTGTTGAAAAACATATCTATGAATGTCATATAATATTGTTTTACAAAAAATATCGATACAACGACATCGTATACATATTGTTCCCGACATTTATAACCAATATTGCAATATGAACATTCTCCCCATGTCGATTCTGAAGCGGTTATGCATTATTGTATATTCAAGTTAAACGGCATATTGATTGGATATTGCTTTAACAATATTTGAAACATTATATTCACCCATCTTGATTGATATCATTTTATCTATATAATGCGGAAGATATCGTATACAATCTGCTTCTTACATTTATAACCAATATCGCGATTTGAATATTGTCCCCATGTTGATTCTGAAGCGCTTGTGCAATATTGTATATTTGAGTTCGACGGCATAGTGGTTGAATATTGTTTCAACAATATTCGAAACATCATATTCACCTATCTTGATTAATATCATTCCATACATAGCATGCGGAAGATATCGTATACATATTGTTTTCAACAATTATAACCAATATAGCAATTTGAACATTCTCCCCATGTCAATTCTGCAGCGGTTATGAAATATTGTATGTTCGAGTTCGACGGCACATTGGTAGAATATTGTCTCAACAATATTTGGAACATAGAATTTACCTATATTGATTGATATCATTTCAACTATATCACGCGGAAGATATCGTGAACATATTGTTTCCAACAACTATAACCAATTTCGCAATTCAAACATTCCCCCTATGTCGATTCTGAAGCGGATATACAATATTGTGTAATCGGATTCGACGGCAAATTGGATGAATATTGTTTCAAA